ATTAACAAATTATATATTGTAAGATTTGGAAAATGAACTAATATCAAGTCATCCACTTTATACTTTGTAGGTGGAATTTGTAGTGCTATTGTTGTCCCAATTATACACAATATAAGTATTCAGTAAACTTGACTTGAACTAGTGGAAGAATCCTTGTTAAATACTAAATTTAAGACATAACATCAATAGCTTATAGCAATCACAAAGGTACACTTAAGTCCATTGGTAATATTATATCATAACCATATAAGAGTTTATATGATGAAGCATTAACAGAACTTTGTAGCATTATAACATACCCATATTAAAGAAACAGCAAATAACCATCTTAGTTCAAATGTTGAAAATCATATGCTCCATATTCCATCCATTTGAAAGTTTGAATAAGTTCTTCCACCAAACCATTCTATGGATGATAAACACTTATAAATGTATAGCATATCTTTAACCAAGATGTTAAAATATAAAACACTTCAACCATAAATACATAATTATTATTCAAGAAAATCTGCTCTTGACAAAAATGTTATAACACCACCCAATTGAGGAGGAAATATCTAATATTAATTGCAGACACACTAGCAATAACATTAACTTTCACCTAATGAGTCAAGTAGCTAAAAACAATAATGATGTACTTATTATTAATAATTAATTGTTAAAAAAGACTTTATCAAATCAAATGCCACCAATTCAAATAAACAAGAAATTACAATTGACTCCAACTGTCCTTTTGCAGCACAAGGGGGAATATTATGAGCTTGGCACCAAATACAACCACACACATACTAGATAATATCATGTTATATCTCCAACCAAAAAAAAGATTTATGTAGCTTCTCAGTCATATGATGATATCTTATATCCCTGCTGAGAATAGCATAGTCATGGTAAAAATGGAGAAAACATGGAATAAAGACAAAAAATACCACCATTTGTAAATGATCATCAAGATTTATCCTAACAAAAGAAAGGTCATTTTTAAAGTGATATTGAGAATATAAATATTGAAACAGCATGATATAGGATTCTTAAACATGTTACGAAGTCTTCGAATCCATAACTCAACTTTTTTAGCTTCATGAACCTTATTAAGAAAAAGGTAAATTTTTCTCCACAGCTTATAGACATTAAACATTAAGTACAGCAATCACTATTAGCATGGAATCCTTATCCAAAAATCCACTAATACTGGAATTACAAACTTGTCAAGAATAGGAAAAAAGAGTGAAAAAGATAAAAGAGCTTAAGAAAGAGTGTTTACATAAGCCATACAAATACTAGCATTACAAACTTGTCAAGAATAGGAGAAGAGAGTGAAAAAGATAAAAAAGCTTGAGAAAGAATATTTATATAAGCCATATAACTCTTTAGGTAATGACTAACAATATTATATATCTAAAGCTTTAGAGCCCATTGAATTGTATAACCATCTAAGTTTTTTTACTTTAATAATGAAGTAATTGTAGTATGATCACCTTTTAGTAATGTTTAAGAATCATGTAAATGTGCATAATGTTTCTTGAAACCCAAAATTGCTACTAAACAATCTTATGTATAAAGTAGTTCATTTCTATTAGTTGTAACATATAGTTGATATATGTAATGAGATGACGCTAATCAAGCACACTTATATTCTTTTTCATCAATACACCCTTAAGACCAATATCAAAAACATTCACACACAAAATAAAAGGTCAAGTATAATTCAAATATGCCAAAATTAAAAAAGTCGTCAATAACTCTTTGAGATTTATGCCTACTTCCAATCCTTAGATCAGATAAAAGATGATGCTAACAACTTCAACAACCCTCACAATAGTGTAGTATAATCAAAAAGATGATCTACAATTCAATTAAGATATTGCACTTTGCTTAAAATAATCATTTTAATTTCATTTTCATTTTTATGTGAATGATCTTTTCATCAAGTGAGTAATTGCTTTTGTAGAATGGGAAGAATAATAAGTTTTTTCATTGATATGTTACTCCATATAAACTACTGAAGCACATTGGTAAGGCAATTTATCAAGTGCAGCTGCCAGTTGGGTGCAATTGAGCTTTCGAGGTAGCTCAGGGATGGTTAAGTAATGAAAAACCTTAAAAAGTGGCATAGCATAGTTTAAGGAAATTAAATCTTTGCCTTTTTGTGCCAGGTCATAACAACTCTATTAAGACAATTATCTAGACTGCCACTACTCTCAAAGAAGTGACTGCAAATGCCCAGTTTGTATTTAATGAAGCCCAAGGATTGTTTGTGTTGAACAATGGGGTGGCTTAAGTCATCGTGAGTTGCAAGAGCAGCAATTGCTCTGGTGTGAGACTGGACATGCAAGATAATGGAAATCTTGTGCTCAAACATAGCAAATAATTCAGTTTTGTAGCAAAGTTTCAACCTCCCAACTGATACATTGCTCCAAGATCAGGTTTTCAAAGGCAGGCAAGCCTTGATATCTGGGAGATACAGTTTGATGTTTCGGCACAGCTCATATTCTTGGCTGCTACTGAGTTGAAGAATTTAACAAGCTACTGGACAATCCCACAGAATCCACCTGCATCATCAATTGGCTCAAACAACTCAACTAGCCAAAGTTCCAGGTTGGTAATGAACTCGAGTGGCATAGTCACCTTCACTGATGCAAGCAACGTCTCAAACTACCAATATTCACTTGACTTCACCTTCGCCAATACAAGAGTGATGAGAATGCAAATTTATGCATTTTTTGTGGGGTGAAAGCCCAAAATGAACTTTTAAAAAGCAGTCCCAGCACATGCCAAATCCTCCTAGCATACATCCTCTTCACATGGCAGCCAGTAGATAAACATGAGCAAAAAATGTGCTTGTTCTCCATATGCCAATTCAAGGTGGAAAGAATCTATTAATACAGAACACATCTCCAACTCCATTTGTACTTCCCTGCACTAAACTTCCAAGCACAAGACCTTGCCATCTTCCCCTTTGATTGTACTTCCTTGCACCCATCTTCCCTTGATGGAGGAACGCAGGGACACACTAATTGACGTGATCATCCAACATTCAAAGAGGCCTATGGTATGGAAGTGTTGTCGTGACTCAAAAGATATCTTTGTTCATTAGAAGCTCAGGAGCATGGTCCCATGCATAACTAGTGCTCCAGTGACTATCTAGCCTCTTCCACATTGAGTTGCTCATTCACTCACCTCTTTCTCCCCTGGTAGTCTTGTATGAAACCCATCTTACATCCATTGCATTGTCCAGTTGGAGGGTTCTTGGACGGATTAGGGCTCCTGTTGGCAAGAATTGATTTTCCATGGTTTTATATATTATATATGAAAAAAATATTTGAGAGATGTAGAAGAAAATTTGTTTCCTGTTGTGCATTTGGATGAAGGAATCTATAGCCGGCCCGAAAATCGTTCTTTAGGGTTCTTGGACGGATTAGGGCTCCAACGCCGGCTCTCTGTTTTAAATTCTTCGTCCTTCTTGTGAGTTCTGCGCGGGCGGCAATGGTGAATTGCGAGCTGCTGGGCGATGTGAGAGGCGTCCAGCACTACAGCGATGGCAGAGTCGTCCGGACGAGCAAGCCCCAGTGGCCCGATTGCGCTGCTGATCCCAGCTTCGAAAAGGACGAGATTGGATGCAAGGACGTGATTCTGGACGAGGGAACGGGAATGTGGGCTCGAATCTTCGCTCCCAAATCGGCTACCGTGGTCCATGATGCTAGCTCCACTGGCAAGCACGCGCTTCTCGTCTACTTCCATGGCGGTGGATTCGTCGCCTTTTCCCCTGCTTCGAGCATTTTCCATGGCCTTTGCAGTGGAATCTCCCACAAAATGGGGATGATCGTCGTCTCCGTCGCCTACAGGCTCGCCCCGGAGCACCGCCTCCCGGTGGCATTCGATGATTCTTTCGTGTCTCTCCAGTGGCTTCAGTCCCAGGCCAAGAAATCGCCAATGGATCGCGACCCCTGGCTCCAAAACGCCGATTTCTCCCGGATCTTCCTCATGGGCGGCAGCGCCGGAGGGACAATCGTCCACTACATGGCTGCCCGATCTATCCACAGCGACCTCTCGCCGCTGGAGATCAAAGGACTCTTCCCAGTGGTTCCATTCTTTGGGGCCGAGGAGAGATCCAAGTCCGAGATCCGGTCGCTCGTCCAGCCCGACGTTCTCACGCTCGCGGACTGCGATACTTTCTGGCGATTCTGTCTCCCGGAGGGTACCAACCGCGACCACGAGTACTGCAGAGTTCCAAGTGCCGAGGAGATCGTCAAGATCGATCCAATGCCGCCATCGCTGGTGGTGGTGGGAGCTCGAGACGTGCTCCACAGCCGCCAGGTGGAGTACTACGAGGAGCTCCGGAAAGCTGGGAAGGATGCAAAGCTGGTCGAGTATCCAAATCGCGGCCATTTCTTGCTGTTTCCAGAGGTCGAGGGAGAAATGGATTACTCGTATGGAGAGATGATCCAGTTCGTGAACAAGTGCTCTACCCTTTGACGTACGAGATGCCGGCATTTCAGCTAGAGCAAGCTTTTGGCCGTTAGATCTGGTTCGATCTGACGGGCATGAGTTTCTTAAGATAACGCGCTTGTCAAGTCAAAAGCCGAGAAATGTGTTGACTGACCGTGCCCGGTCAGTCAACACATTTGAGATAGTCTAGAGGAGCCCCCAATATTGTGAGTCTGTGACTTCGTGCAATACATAAGAAATGCCGCTGCTGTTGCTGTTCTTGGCTGCTGCTCTTGTAGTGCTTGCCAACGGCAAATCATCGTTGCAAGTCGGGGATGTTCTCGCAGTAAATCAATTCCTAGTCTCGCCAGACAACACTTTTGAGCTTGGATTTGTCGATGATGAAGCCTCTGGTAAGTTCACCTTAGTGATCAGGTTCCACCACATCAACTTGAAGACAATCGTCTGGACTGCACCAGCTGCACCTAGCGTTGCTTTTACTGCTAATGCTCGCCTCCAACTCACTGCCCAGGGCCTATTTGTCTCGGACGGGGCCCAACTAATAACGATTGCAAATGTTCCTAGTGTTGCAAGTGCGGAGTTACAGGACAATGGTAACTTTGTGGTCATATCAAGCAGTGGCAGCTGGCAAAGTTTCGATGTCCCAACCGATACCTTGCTCACAGGCCAACTCATCCAAGGCAACAAAGATATCCTTCGCTCGGGGAGCTTTAGTTTGTACCTCAACCAAAACTCTATAGGGTTAAAAAGCTATGCAGTTCCGGAGTCCAATTCTCAATCATATTGGGATGTCCAGAGATCCCCGACTAGTTCCAACAACGCATCAACGTTGGTGATGAACTCGACCGGCATTCTTACTTTCACCGACGGTCAAGGGCCCTGGTACATTAACCGGGAACAAAACTCGTACTTTTACGTGCTGGATTTTGGAACTCCAAAGGTAGCGAGGAGACTCACTCTAGAACGCAATGGAACTCTACGAGTTTACAGCCTTACCCAGGATAACTCCTCGTGGAATATAGTTTGGCAAGCATTGACAGCTGACTGCAAAGTCTTTGGGATGTGCGGACCTTTCGGGATTTGCACATACAGGCCTGGTCTCGTCTGCACTTGTCCTCCAGGGTTTCACTTTGTGGATCCAGGTGACCATTCCAAAGGGTGTGAGTATAATGTCCCCTTGAAAAGCTGCAATGGATCCGATAACAGATGGGTGCGTTTGGAAAGAACTGACTATACTTACAATGACAAGACGTACATCTCAGTCATATCCCTTGAAGATTGCAAGAGTCTCTGCAAAGAGAATTGTGGCTGCCTTGGGATAGCCTACAGAGCTGACGGCTCAGGGCAATGCTTTCTCAAGGGTCCAGATTCAACCAGGGGACCAAAGCAAGTGATTTATAATGGCTTCCAGATTGCATCTGGGCCGAATCTGTTCTTTCTGAAAGTCTCTGCATCAGATACTTCCGTGCCAGCCGAGGATGATCACAGTTTAAATCAACTTTTATATGTTACAGACATGGATGCAACAAACAATGTGGAAACCTTGTTTGTGAAGGAGGTGGAGGTACCGATCAAGCATAAGTTGGCCGTGGCGCTTGCCATTGCTGAACTTTTAGTGTTCTTGATTTGTGGAGCTGTCTATGGACACCACGTCAAGGAAAAAGTAAGGCACATCAGACAACAAATGGAGTTTGAGGGAGGCACAACAAGGTTTACGTATCACCAGCTTGAGATTGCTACAAACTTTTTCAAAGACAAGCTTGGAACTGGAGGCTTTGGCACGGTTTTCAAAGGATTGCTCCCAGATGGTATTATCGTGGCCGTGAAAAACATAGAGATGGAGATTCAAGCAGAGAAGCAGTTCCAAGCCGAAGTTACAACCCTTGGAAATATCCACCACATCAACTTGGTTCGACTGCTAGGATACTGTGCCGAAGGAAGCCACAGGCTGCTCGTGTACGAGTACATGCAAAACGGTTCCTTGGAGAAATCCATAATCTCAAACGAAGACATCGATGAGAGTCTTTGTGACTGGAAAACAAGGTTCTCAATCGCTGTGGGCATCGCCCGAGGAATAACCTACCTCCATGAACAATGCCAGGAATGCATCGTCCACTGCGACATCAAGCCTCAAAACATCCTCCTCGACGAGAAGTTCTGTCCAAAAGTCTCTGACTTTGGACTGGCGAAGCTGGCCAGTCGAGAAAGAACCATAAACGTGACCATGGTGCGAGGAACTCGAGGATACATGGCACCGGAATGGGTCCGCAACGTCACCATTACTCCAAAGGTGGACGTGTACAGCTATGGCATGGTCCTCTTCGAGCTGCTGAGTGGCGGAAAAATAATTCCAGTCGATGGCGCTCCTGCCACGAACTCGGAACGCGGGCATTTTCCAATCTGGGCTTTTAAGCACTATGTAGCTGGGAGTGTGAGTTCCATCGCGGATACAAAGATGGCGGAGAAGATCGATATGGTCCAGTTCAACATGGTCCTGCGGGTTGCATTTTGGTGTGTCCAGCCCGATGCAAGCCTCAGGCCCAACATGAGCAAGGTCGTGGAGATGCTTGAGGAAAATGTCCCAGTGCCAGAGCCACCTTTCCCAAGGATGATTGAATGAGGTGTGAGGACATGGAACCTTCAGGCCATAAAAACTGAAATCTTAGCTATTCCAGGAGCGAGTCAAACCACTCGTCTCGTTTAGAATTGTTATCTAATGTGGATACGCTCCAACCGGTCGTGATATAAGAACCTCAAGTCAAGATATAGACGTCTGCTTTTTGACTGCTTCAAGTCGTGACCGTGCATGACACGGAGGGGAGAGGACCTTTACAAAACATTTTCTATCGTAAAATTCGCAAGACCGCAATGGCATTCTGTAATGTCGCCTTGTTCATATTGATAGTGCCAGTGGCAGTTCTAGCGAGCGAAATTGAAAGGGGCAGCAGCATTCAAACAGGCCAGTCTCTCAAGGCGGATGAAATCCTGATCTCACCAGGGAAGACCTTTGGGTTTGGTTTCGTCAATGACACTGGAGCTCCTGGTAAGTTGAATGTTGCAATCAGGGTCCGCTCCGTTGAGACAATTATCTGGACTGCCACTGCTCTCAAAGGAGTGACTGCAAATGCCCAGCTTGTGCTTAATGAAGCCCAAGGATTGTTTGTGTTGGATAATGGGGTGGCTCAAGTCATCGTGAGTTGCAAGAGCAGCAATTGCTCTGGTGTGAGACTGGACATGCAAGATGATGGAAATCTTGTGCTCAAACACAGCAATAATTCAGTTTTGTGGCAAAGTTTCGACCTCCCGACTGATACGTTGCTCCAAGATCAGGTTTTCAAAGGCAGGCAAGCCTTGATATCTGGGAGATACAGTTTGCAAATGACTGATGTTTCGGCACAGCTTATATTCTTGGCTGCTCCCGAGTTGAAGAATTTAACAAGCTACTGGACGATCCCACAGAATCTGCCTTCATCATCAACTGGCTCAAACAACTCAACTAGCCAAAGTTCCAGGTTGGTAATGAACTCGAGTGGCATAGTCACCTTCACTGATGCAACAACGTCTCAACTACCAATA